TCAGTTGTCAGTCCTCAGATACAGTTTTTCTGTATCTGCTATATAAGAAATTTTTCTGCTGTAAGGACAGATTTTATGTCASATCAGTCTCCTGATTATGCATTTCCTATGGATACAAGTCCACTGTCTGAKTTTCTTGAAATTTTGGAGAACAAAATATTAGACATGATAAAGAAATTAAAACCAATAGTGGGTATTTACAGCCCATCCTCCATCGGCAGGCGAAGACTGCTTTTTAGTCTATTCATTTCAATTCACAGGATAATAAATCTTTAATTTAAATGCTAATTATGTGATACTGTCACCAGTGCAACTTCCTCCTGCTCTATATTATCACTGAAGTATTATATAAGTGCTCTGTAAGTACTGTGTAATACAATGAAGCCTACATTTTGGGAAGTACACGGCGATTTGCTGAGGTATCTGATATTCTGTTTTACTGTGATTGCTTAGGCACTCCACGGGTATTTACTTCTGTGGTCACTATCCTATTTTTATCTTCAGTAAAATCAATTTTAGGACTTCTGGGCAGTAAACTAGTTTAGATTGACTCATTCTTAGCCTAATTGTGCAGTGCTGGGTTTTGAAACCCTTGAAATGTGAAGACATGGATGTGTCATTTGTGTTCCCCGCTTTGTATTCACAAAATCACCCTGATTACACTGAAATATCATTGGCATTTCTGTGACTATATAAAAGATGTTCTGCTACGTGTATTTTACTATCCAGTTACAAAGATTCTTCCCAATTCTTGTGTATAAAGTACAAAATTGATTTCATTAGGATGCCCAGTGTACTGAGATCARTTTGTTGCCTCTAGCAAGCAAATCTACTGTGGTTGTAGATGCTAGTTCATATATCGCATTTAAGCCTGTGAGCTGGAGGAGTGAAGCATTAGGAGAGTGTTTGCTGGTTCCTCCCTTACATCTGTTTTTCTGTACAGGAGAAAAACGAAGATTCATTAGATCCAGGGAGTGTGACTAGCTAAGGGCATGAGCTGCACCAATGCAAGGASAGAGCATCCTACATGTGCTCCTGCATTTTTTTCCCAGATGTTAACRTAAAGAAAAAGGAGTGGGATTTAAAATTCCCTCTAGTTGCTAACATATCCTGTTATCTATATGTGGAGTCAACTGCATGCCAAGCTGTGTGATAGGAGGTATTGTGTGAACAGCATACTGTCTGGTTGGGATGCTGTTCTGCCACGCCTGCCCTTCCCGTGCCTCTCGTAGTGTTCTGGATGGCATTTTGGGTCTCTGGTGGTGTCAAAATTAGATKTAGTAGTACTGGTTTTTACAAGCTCAGATTTTACAATAAATTGCTTCGAATGAGAACCTAACTTGCATACCTAAAGTTTGGTTATCTGAGACACCATCCCCAGCTCCCTTTGTAGTCACTGAAGAGACAGACTTTATTTAGAGAGTAAACCAATTTATCTTCAAATAGGTGTCAAAATACACTGGATAGATTATGCTCTAAAAATGTTTTATTTCTACCCTTTGGTTCCACRGGGAGTTCGCAATGACTAGCTTAGAGGTAGGTGACTATTTTTAGAAATCTAAGATTAGATGATATGGATGTGTGAAAGAATATGTGGCTGAGTCACGACAGAAAAGAGAATGAAACACTGGATTTATGGAAGCAGCCCACAGAAAATAGAGGAAACTGTGAAAGGGCCCCTTTATTGTTGAACCACTGGCTTTAGGATTGCAGTTAGAGCTGGGCTTTTGTGTCTTCACCTCCGCTGAGGTATAGGACTAATCTCCATGATCAGGAGTGTCTTCCTAGCCTGCAGCTAATGGTGAAGGCTGCTGTGAATCTCAGACCTTGTTGTTGGTCACGTATTTGCCAAACCCAGTACAGAGCAGCATAACTCACTCTGCTAGGACCTGCTGGGTTTTATGGATATTTTAAGTTGGCTGTTTTAAAAATGTTTACACGTTCTTCTATGAAAAAGCYATTGAGTTCTGGCTTCTTTAAAATATGTTTTTTTTCACATATTCCTGGGACAATGGAAATTGGCATATGTTCTATATTGTTAGTAGGGCAGTTTTCATTAGAAGTATTTCAATTATTTTCTGTCTTGGCTACCCAGAGCTGAAGTCTACCGTTTTTCAGAGCATACTGTGAAATTTCTATTTTGTAAGACCATTTGCAGAGAAGATGATTTAAATTTGGTGCATTTCAGTGTGGGCTGGCAATGTTTAAAATGAGATTTTAGTGTTAAAGTGGAAATTCATGTTTAAAGAGGACAGATTGCTTTAAACTATAATGTTTATGTTGTTGATGATACTCTTTTTTTCCTTTATTTTTTTTCTTTGATTTTTTTCTAATCTCTGAGCTATACCAGCTGTCCAAGTGCATTTCTGTTCCCTTCTCTCCTCTCCTCTGAGGATGTACCACTATAAGACCAGAGTAAATTTCTATAATTGAAAGACCAGAAATTTTCTCCTATCCTGCCACAACAAAGGTATCTTTGTCTTCTGTTTTGGAAAGGAGTTACATTAATAAATACCTGAAAATAAAGATACTGTTGGATGGAAACATAGATGATGAAGAAATGGCATTTAGACTTTGCGTTTTTGAATCAGTTTGAGTATTTCTTCTAGTTCCACTGTTTCATATTTTTCAGCTCATTCCAGTAAGTTTTTTCTTCTAGTGACTATCATGGGGAAAGAGCCCAATCACCCAAGGTACAACCAACCCCAGTGCCATGGAGAGCTTTCAGAATCAGGCCTCATCTGATGCTTTTTTAGAAATCAAGGAAAAATATTTCCAACTGGTCCGGCTTATCTGCACCTGCATTAACCTCTTCAAATGAGGACTTGGTTTTTCCTTCACCAAAACTGTGTGGCTTGACCTTTTCAGTGTCTGCTTATCATACAAGTACTTCGATAGTCTGATTAGTGTGGGGATGGATTCTGAAACTGTGGACATTAATCAGGCCCAAGAGTTTTTATCTGAGAGAGATTTCTGCTCAAAACTCAAAGATCTCAATTAAAAGGACTTAGAAGAGTTTAACATACAGGATAGAAGGTCCAAGAGTTGTATGTRTATATCTGCATATATTTATACATACATGCACAGATTTCTGCTGAAATTACTGAGATCATAGAAATTATAAGAAAAAAAACGGTCCAAGAGCACACTAGTGATTCTTCTTTTGCTTTCATTTAGCTGTAGATACARCCTTAGTAACTTGGTTTCCCTAAGATCCCATTTGGTGTTCAACATGCATATGCAGAGCATTTAGACAGATCRTTTAATGTTTTTCTAATACAAGGAGTAATAGACCTAGAGACTGCATGTCAGAGCCAGTCTCTGTTGCTGAGTAGAAGACTTCTCTGCATTTGTTGAGGGCATCCTGGGTTCTGGCCTCTGGAAAAATTACAGAATTATGCCTCAAAGCAAAGTCCTCAACGCACAGAGAAGGTACATGGGCATTTGAATGTCTTAAAATTCAGTAGCCTCTAGATTCTCACAGGCTCCACTCAGGTGCTGGATGTCTAGTTTCTCAAAATGCATGTGCATGAAATGCTTTGAAATGGTAAAGCTGTTGGTGCTGAGGAACAGAAGGTTAAGGAGAAGTACTCGGGGAATTAGAGAGCCCTTAGTGATATGAGCAGAATTATTTTGGATTTCTGGTTCAGATTTACGTATTTGATGTCTTTTTCAAGGTTGTTCTAGGTGCTTGGAAGCTTCTTTGAAACAGAGTTGCCTGTGCTCAATACACTGTAATTGCTAATATAGGCCATATATAGTTAATTCACTGGTAGAATTTAAAGATAATTCTCTTCTTATAAAACACCACCACATTAGAGCATTAACCAGAAAATATGTTTTCTTCATTAAAGATGTATTGTGCTTTTTACTCTGGCCCTGTTTTCCAGTCATTCCCCATGAACCACTAGCACTACATTAACCTCCTCTGAGCCTTTAGGGACACTGTTAAAGTATGTAGCATGGCCAACAAGTGTCACGTCCTAACACGTGTTCCCTGTCCTACTGGTGCTGAATGGTGATCAAGGTCAAGATTGTGCCTCTAGTGATCGAATGTTAAAGATCTAACTGTGGTCTGCAAATATGTCTATGTTTAACCTAAAGAGACATGGTAACACCTCATTTGAAAGGTTTCTTTAAATCAGGCAAACCAGTGAAGTCCAGTTCGATGCAGAAGTATGAAGTATCAAAATACCATTATACTTGGCATCGTTATCATACTTCACCAGAAGTGATTATTTACTAGGTTCCTGTTAGTTTGGAGCTTCTCCATCCCATCCCTTGTACCCAAGCTTAGCAAAATTTTGCATAACTTATGGAAAAAGCCTTCTGCTGTAATTGATATTTGTCAACAGTTTTGAACACCTCTAATTTCTTTAGAATTTTCCATAACAGAAGAACTTACTTGTGACTGCAAAGCATTTGGTTTCTGTTAACTAAAAGTATCTGCTACTAAAATTSCTGGGGATAAAGAACATGTTTTCATACAGTATTTCCTGCCTATTCTGTTGTCATGTAGTTGAATGAACATATTCTCTACCATATCCAAAGTCATCCATGGGTTATCTTTGTCTTTCCTTCTTCTTCTTTCAGATAAGTYATCTCTCCAAGTGAACCATTTGCTCCTTTCAATTGATATTTTAACCTATAGAACCACCTATAGGAATCATTTCTTTAGCAAATTGCTAGGAAACCATTGTTCTCAATATCATTTCTTCAGTATGCTACATAGATCCTGCTGGAGCACTGTGGCTTGGACAAACACATCAGTTTATCAACAGATAAAGTACGGTTTCAAGTGAGAAGCTAATTTCTTTACATTTGCAGCATATAGGCAGCTGTTAACATGTGTATTCATAATTCATGCCAATAAGGCTGCATGTTTCACAAAACACTGGGCAAACATAGCATGTATACMTTAACGACGATTRCTTCTACAGCCTGGTAATATTATTTGGTTTATCAATCTCCTAAGCTATGGTGTTTTATTTTTACCTTAGGGATACGATGATGGATATGGGGGTGAATATGATGATCCAAGCTATGAGGCATATGACAACAGTTATGCCACCCAAACACAAAGGTAAGAGTTTATAAATTTGTGTGAATTTTCAATGAAACTGTTAGTTAACACTTCTTTTTCCTTATTTTTTTTATATGAAGTTCCTATTTCATTTTCTACATTAAATTCTCCAGATTTCACAGTATTTGAAATAGACATCAAAAATAATAATGATGGTCAGAGGTAACATACAGAATTATTCAGAGGAAGCAAAATTCACTTTTCAATTCATTGAAAATTAAAGTAACCAAGCGATAACACCATGTTACAACTTTATCTCATTTTAACCCTATCTGTGCATTTATTTTCTCTTTATTAGTGCAAAGTCTGTAAGGGCGTCTCATATTTCATAGTTTCTGTAGTAGTTGAACTAAACTGGAATCAAATAAAGAAAAGAAAATAATAAYGATGATGGCAAATATATATTGTCCATTGGTATCCACCTTCCTCAGGGAAAAATATAAAATGCAATTTTTGCCTGCAGTTACACTTTATTTGAGGTATCTGCTCTCTGCCAGATACTTTCTCAACAACTTTCAGAATTGATAAAAGCAACTAAGTCTGGAAATTTTATGTAATTTCTTTTATATCATTGCTGTGTAAGTTAATAGAATTATGTTCAAACTTCTTATGAATCATGTCACTAAAAAGAGACAAAAAAAAAGCTTACTTTTACTTCCACATACCCGACACGTGCATATATTTCTCTCTACAGTTGGTCCACGTTTATTAACTGCACAATGGTATCTTTTTTGCAGTTCAGCTGAAAGCTAAAAGAGCCTTCAGCCGGTTATTCAGAAAATGCTTTGATTGGTTGCTGAGGATAAATGTTGGATCACAGGAAGCCACACAAAGTTTAAAGAGGGAAAGAAGTAGCTTTTAATTGAATTACTTTGATTCTTGCCAGACAGGAAAATGATGTTTATATTCACAGTTTTGCACATTAAAGGCAAGAGGACCTTAAACTCTGTAACTGCTTTGGTGAGTGGCAATTGAGCTGATGCAAAAATTCTTTGAAAGTATTTTTATAGCCAGTGAAGAATGTTTAAAAGGATTTGTCACACCTAAATGTGAACCCCTTCAAGTATACTTTAACATCACACTTTTCAATAATTATACATTGCTTACTGTATTTATCATGTCACTGTGTAGGTAGATATTCTTGTTGTCAAATGTATTCCRATTTTTTTGAAAAGAATTCAGCCCAGTTTTTGATACAATAGTGAATTGCCACTGGAGATAGTCTATAGTTTAAAAATAATAATTGGTTAGAAGTCTGTCTTCTATGACATTGTTTTATATCATATGAATTAACTTGTAATTTCTTTGCAAGTTGATGTCCCTAACAACAAAATGACATATTTATCAAGTTGATTTCGAGTATAATATGTCAAACTAGAACTAGAAGCAATAATTTCATTCAAGAAAACTTATGAGTCAATTTTTTTTTCAGTTAAACACGTATTAAGTTAAATGTATTTTCCACTAATGTGAGCTGCCTCCAAAATGCCTAATCTAGTTCAAATGTGCAACTGAAATATTTTCTTTCATAATATATGGCAGGATATACAGTCATACTTATCCATGTTTAGTATTAGTGAATGCCATAACTGGTCTAGTGACTTAAAAGAAATTACTTGCAGAGTAGCACACTACTCGGATTTCATATATTTAAAAAATAAATGAACTATTAAACTTATGATTGGATTTCTATATCTTAGTGGATATTTAGTTTCATAGAAAGGCCTCTTTATTAAGCCTGGCAAAAATAATATGATAGAAGAATATCGCAGAAATATTAGATTAGGTGTATGTATTAAAAAGTTATCTGCTAATGCCATGTCTTGTAATTAGTATGACCCATCATTTGAACAAGATACGTAATGCAGACACCCAAGAAAGAAAATAATTTGGACCCCTTCAGAATATTGATCCAGACTATGCAGTGTGCGATTTGTGGGGAAACAACAAAACCTTGTAGCTGATTTGTAGCTCTCTGTAGCATGAGAAAAAAATAATTGTTGCTGCCATCTGCAGGGGTTAACTGAAATCCTAAGGCAGGAGATGAGAGCTGCTCATGCTAAGCACAATTTTTTCCACTTCTTTTGTATGGCTCATTAAGGAATTAATATATAAGTCTATAACATAGGTCCGAATTCTGGTCTCACTGTCTGTCTCACCCACATATTGACCAGGCCTTATTCTCATCCTCACTCTAAACCCTTAAAACTACACTGTGGGCAGAACTGAATGCATGCTGAATTCCACGTGCTTCAGAACACTTAGTGAGTTCTGTCTTGTTCCTCTTTTGACCCACTTCTTTATGTCTACTTCCCCTTTGCTCAGCAAAGGTCTTTTCTGTCCATTAATGGGATCCTTTAGTCCTTCATCATCCAAGAGTTGCCTGATAGGGAATTTTTATGAATTCATCTCTGCCAACAGCAGAGAAAAATGAACATGGTGTGAACACACACTGTTGTGAGTATTCAGTGTATTAGAAGGAGTGGCAAAATGCCCAGCTACAAGATCATCCAGTTGCAGGTGAAGTAACACATGCTGTACTTCTATGTACAATTATCTGAGGCTTCAYACTGGAGGTCATAGATGGAACAACATTCCCAACAACACATTTTGTGTAAGTCCTTCTCCAAAAAACTCTACCACAGCCACCCGTCCTGACAGCAGAACTTCATGGTAGCAGTCTGATTTTTACACTGAAGATAGGGGAATGGAAACACTCCTGGAAGAGTCTCAGAATGAGACTAGAATGGCAGAAACCAGCAAGCTTGTATAGCTACGTGAGCTAAGAGACACCTCAAGACTACTTTGAAATGGACACAATAATCAGCTTGAAGAAAGGTGACAGCACGACCCCGGAGCAGCAGATCTTCACTGTGGTAAGTCGTGTGTCACCTGTATCTTTGTRTTTGGGGAGACTGTAATTTTAGGAATTAAAAAATTAAGGGTTATGCCAAATATAGTTAACGTTGCAGTCTGTATTGCATAAGGTATGTCTTGCTTTAACTAGGAGCCACATTCCTAAAGCCACTCTTTTTCCTGTTCCAGAATGACTATGCAGAATGCAGGATGATGAAATCTCAGGAAAAATATTTAAAGGCATAACTTGTTACACTTTCCAACTGTGACAATAATCATTATTTATAAGGTTCAGTAAAAGACTGGTTTAGCAAAGACATTTAGAAACACTGCTGGTTTTAGAAATATTTCCATTCTTATGTCAAAACACAGGTAATTTTTAAGGTAGTTCAGATTAAAGCATTGTCTGAGACCACAGAGAACAAGGAACCAAACATTTCAATGGGCAAGGRTAGGCATCAAATTTGACTCACATCCACTAGGAATGTTCAACTGCATTTAGAGGTCTTTGATGGAACCTCTTTTTTCTCTTCTCCTCTCCCTCCCACTGAAGTGTAWAATTGGCCCGTATTGTTATATATCTGAGTTTGCAGATACATCAGACCCTTTTGGTCAGCTAGACTTGGCTTCTAAACATCTATTCTGGTAACTCTAGCTTATAATGTGACAACATTTGAATGGCAAGATGACCATGAGGCAGCAGTGTCCTTGTGGCCAAGAAAGCCAACGGGCCCCTGGGGTGCATTCAGAAGAGCGTCTCCAGCAGGTCAAGGGAGGTGATTGTCCCCCCTGTACACAGCCCTGGTGAGGCCACATCTGCAGCACTGTGTGCAGTTCTGGGCTCCCCAGTACAAGAGGGGTGTGGAGCTGCTGGAGAGAGTCCAGCGCAGGGCTACGAGGATGATCAGGGTCCTGGAACATCTGCCCTGTGAGCAAAGGCTGAGGGAGCTGGGCCTGTTCAGCCTGGAGAAGAGACGGCTGAGGGGGRACCTGATCAGTGTCTGTAGATACCTCAAGGAAGTAAAACTCCTTTAAATATGATGGCCGTCCCTGCTTTATTGTTTCATAGCATGTTATACTGATGAGGAGCAGATAGCAGATGAGGGTTCTCAGGTAGTTGCATCTCATCTCAACAACCAATTAATATTCATCTGGGATTCCCATTCTATTCACACTTGATACTTAAAACTTGTGAGATGCCTGTTATGTTGACTAGCGGAATTCTCAAATGCAACAAACTTACTGTAGGGGAACAGATGTTTAAATAGACATGACCCTCACCAGTGAGTCGTTCTATCAGGTGATCTCCAATTTCCATTACTAAGGTAGATGTCATTCTTACAGGATATATAAGATATAATTTCTCATGGAAGGCAGGCCTTGTTTGTCATATTTGGTGGTTCAAGTGCACTGATAATCTCAGAAGCTTCCCACCTTCAGACCATTTTAGAACATGGCAACAATTCTTCCTTTCCAGTGTGGTTGAATTGTAGATTTAAAGAAATAAATATGATCTTTACCACGAAGTGTTTTATGCACTACTGCATTAAAAACAATTTTTGACGAGAACAACATGCTGAGTGATCAAAGAGAACTCTAAAATAGCAGAAGCATAAGTTTCCAGTTGAACTATTACATAGACATTATGGGAGTGTTCTATTAGTTTTCAAAATATAATGCATTTTTTTATTTTCTTAGCAGGAACTTACTCCACTGACAAGATTCATCAGCTGAGAACACCACATCACCAGGAGAAAAAGATGAAAGGTTCTGAGAGAAGATCTGCCTCTTTGCTTACACGGAAATTGATGGTGCATTGTAATGTACTGCATGAGAAGCATGGACAAGTCCTCAACCAAGACCAATAGAATAACTTTGCAAAAGTGGATCAGTTGCTGATGAATCAGCTGAAAAACTTGATGGTCAGCAGAGTGTAGCCTTCTCCTCTACTGCCATATCTGTAGTTATCACCATTGACCCCTGTGACATTAGTAGCACCAGCAGTTTCATTTCAAAGGTACCATATCTCATAGCCAAGAGACATGCTCAGAACACATGGTACTGACTRGCTAGAGGGCACACTAAATAGGATATGTTCTATATAATCCAYTTTGGCATAAGCCACACAACTTTGTGCAGTGTGA